GAATTTTTTTTTTTTTTTTTTGTTTTTTTTTTTTTTTTTTTTTCTTCTTCGAATATTGATAAAAACGTTGCTTCATTATCATAAATATATTCTAATTGTATTTGTGATGAATGAATATAATTTCGAATTTTTTGTTAATAATTAACAGTTTTATTTTAAGTTGGGTTTTACATGGGAATTAATAATATTTCTGGATTTTGACAATTTATTAATTTACATAATTGTTTACTTTACATAGTCGAGTTCAGCAGAAAAGTTTAAGTAATACCCCGCTTTTTAATTGTTAAAATAATTTTAAAATATTGTTTTTAAATAATATATTTTTATGTTACGAATTAATTGTGTTAAAAATTCATCGAACTTGACGAAAATATTCGCGTTAAAATACAGGTATTGTCTGATAAAGTGACATTAATTCAGATTGATAGTTATACCAATAACGTAACTCGTTTCATTTTAAACGAGCTGGTTTGTTAGATTACTTATCCAGGTGTATTAAGTGTTTCTATAGTTTCGTAACTGAACATGTGTAACATTTGCCAGACCACCAGCGACCAGGCGCTTCCGTTCTTTGTACGCTGGGAGTTCGATTATGGGTTTGCGCCTCGCTAGACAGACTGGCCACGTGGGTTTCTATACATCTTTCCTGTAGCAGTCAATTACTTTTATAAAGACCTCCCGGAAGGCATTCTCTTTTATATAAATCATCCAAGTGTTGCGTTGCCGAAACTTAACTAAACAAACAACAGGTGCAACGATGCCTGAAACGAAGAAGGCTTCGAAATGGAACTGATTGAAAAATTTGTGGTGTGGTTGGATATTTTGAATATCACATTTGTTATCATACTGTTAATACTAAGAAACAACCTACATTATTCGAAAATAATCAGCATTAACATTCCCAAATCAACTAGGTTTGTAGGTTGCTTCTTTAAACCTTTTTAGTCATACAATTAATTAATGCCTTAGTATATTGTATCGCAAGGTACAAAAACAAAGCTTTTTTGAAATTACAGTAAAGCGGATGAGACAAATTATAATTGTTTTTTTATTCATTATTGAATATTAAACGGCGAATATTAATAGGAGCTTAGCGTAGACGGAAAGCGCCTCCTCAAATACAAACGTTCGTGTGTACTCTTTCCGTTTCGGGCAGTTTCTGTGATATAAATGATATTATTAAAATCTTTTAAATTTTCAGCAAAATGTTCAGCAATAAATTTTTCCGCCTGTTTCATTACGAAGCCTTCTTCATTTCAGGCATAGCTGCACCCGTTGCACCTGTCTAGTTACGTGACTTTAGAGAGACTTAATACATCTGGTCAGGGGAGTAGTCGCAGTGGCGCGCTTGGCCCCATGGCTCATTTAGTCAAAGGAAGAATTATAGGTCAATAGCTTGTGATAGTATTGCGCGGCAAGAAAGGGAATTTGAATCGTGACGGAAAGACACTCTCACGTTAGTCTGTGACGGGAGTGCTCTCTGGTTACCGAGTGGGGAACTGGATGGTCTGTGGTAAGACTGAAGATGATAGGGGCGAATTTAGGTTTTTTCGCGGTCTAATTCTAGGGCTTATTGAAGTCCATTTTTGTTACATTAAGAATATTTAAATTAGGGTTTAAAATTTATTTATAATAACATCAAAATCAAAGTTGAAATGTATTTGTTTATGAAATGGTCTTGAATGATGATAAGTGGTCATTGGTAATGAAATGTATTAAAAATTTATGATTATAATTCAATTTTTGTGAGCCCTTGATACTTGGGGAACCGCGCTTAGTCCCATTAGTCCGTATGTACTGTACATGTGACCCTGATTATAGAATGTTCGAGGTTTGCATTGCTAGTACAGTACGTTTTGTTCCCTACTTAATCGCTGCAATCAGTGCGAATGAGTCAGCTGAGTTCAAGGAACATAATATGCAAATAGTTATGGCGCTTGAAGAACTATCAAAAGACTGTAACAATGCAACGAAAAAATATGCTTTTCAAATGCATTTCTCTGCTACAAAATCAGAATTCATTGTTAGTGTTTGTCTCGTAGCAAAATATTTAGCGATCCTCCAACTGGTGGTAAATGTTATTCATTATTTTATAAACAACGTTATCTTATTTTTGCCCCTGAAAAAATCTGATTACGCCCTCGCATCTAAATAAGTAATTTAATAAAATACTTCGTTTGAAATTAAACAGGTTACGTTATTGGTGTGATTATCCATCTGAATAAATGTCAATTTATCAGACAATTCGTCTATTTTAATGCGAATATTTTGGTTATGTTCGATTAATTTTTAACACAATTAATTCGTAACATAAGAAAAATGTATTTATAAGCGATATTTTTTAACGATTTTCACAATTAAAAACCGGGGTATTGGTTATACATTTCTTTTCAATTCGATTCAGTAAACTACGCAATTATGTAAATTAATAATTTGTAAAAATCCAGAAATATTATTAATTCCCATGTAAAACCGAACTAAAAATAAAACTGTTAATTATTAACAAAAAATTCGAAATTTTATTCATTTATCACAAATACAATTAAAATATATTTTTAACAATTAAAAAGCGGGGTATTACTTAAACTTTTCTGCTGAACTCGACTATGTAAAGTAAACAATTATGTAAATTAATAAATTGTCAAAATCCAGAAATATTATTAATTCCCATGTAAAACCCAACTTAAAATAAAACTGTTAATTATTAACAAAAAATTCGAAATTATATTCATTCATCACAAATACAATTAGAATATATTTATGATAATGAAGCAACGTTTTTATCAATATTCGAAGAAGAAAAAAAAAAAAAAAAAAAAACAAAAAAAAAAAAAAAAAATTC